GAGGGAATAGGGAACGCATCTTCCCGTGATAGCGGGAAGATTCGTTCCCGCTTTGCACTTGGCAAGGCGCACGAGATAGATAGATAGATAGATAGATAGATAGATAGATAGAGAGATAGATAGAGAGAGAGAGAGAGAGAGAGAGAGAGAGAGAGAGAGAGAGAGAGAGAGAGGCGGCGACCTGCACGGAACGCCGTGGCAAAGTCGCCGTCTCTCTCTCTCTCTCTCTCTCTCTCTCTCTCGTGCGCGGGCCTTGCCAAGTGCAAAACGGGAACGAATCTTCCCGCTTTCGCGGGAAGATGCATTCCCGATACGTATTCTCTCTCTCTCTCTCTCTCTCTCTCTCTTGGTCGTGATTTCTCTTTTTTTTTCCCTTTTGTTTCTTTTTTTTTTGTTTGTTTCTTTCGTTTTCTTTTTTGGCTTAGTTTTGTCAGAAAGTACGGCGAGGGACTGATAGCGAAGAAGTACCGCGAAGAAATGATGAAAAGAACTTTGAAAAAAAAAAAAGAACTTTGGAAAAAAAAAAATGGCATTTAGTCCCCCTCTTTTTGCAGGGGTCTGGGAAGGCAGCGCCTGGTAGTCCGAGCCTCGGCACGGCTTGGCATACCGGTGGGCCAAGGCTCGGACTCGATAGCTGGGCGAGGTACTGGTGGTTTAAGCATTATGCTTGACCACCTAGCACAGGTGGCAATCGGGTGCCCACAGACACACCCACCTGCCGCAACTCACCCACAAGGCGATGGAGGTCGGGCTTGGGTCTACCTATGCCTTCTTGGGTGGGCGACGGGTGTGTGCACGTAGTGGACGGGTCTGGGTCATGGGCGGGTCAATTCTTGCTCTGCGCCACCCAACGGGTGGTTGACAGGGCGGGTCCATATTTTCTCTGGGTCACCCAACCCATAGACCCAGGACCACCCGAAAAAATGACAATGCCCCTCCCCCCAAGAAAAATAAAATAAAATGAAAAGGACTTGGATCAGCCTGTCCAGCGGGCACGCCTGAGGTTACTAGAATAGAAAACGCAGGCCTGTGTACAGTCACTACAGGCACCCAAGGACTTGATCAGCACGTGAATCTACAGGGGATTTCATTAAACCACCAGTACTTGGCCCAGCTATCGATGCCAGGCCTGGAATGCCCCTGCGGGCCAATTTTTGCCGAAGCGCCGGGGTACTGTTTCAATTTTTTTTTGGCTGGCACTTCCATCCATTGTGGTCCGGTACCTCGAAGCCCTAAAGGCGCGGCGCGTTAACGGGGAATCGCCGCAGCCGATAGCTGGGCCAAGTATTGGTGGTTTAAAATCTGGATCGTGAGGATTGATTTATAGCTCGTTTCGTCCCAGACTTTTTGAAAATTATTGACACGATGTAATAAGCCTCCAATTGGAATTGTCGATACTTTTGGTGGGTTAATAGTAAGATTCCAATTGTCTTTGTTGCAAAGTCATGTTGTCGATGAATATGTACCCGTGTAAGGGACTAGCACAGGCGGTTGCGGGCGGATTCGGGTGGGTGCGGGCGGGAAAATCTAGGTCTCAGATGCGGGCAGGTAATGATATGTTCTTACGGGTGTGGGCCGGTCCGGGCAAGCGCTTTATTCGGGTGCTGGGCGGGTCGGGCGCGGGGCTGAAATTTCAAAAACTGTTTTGGGTCGGTGGAGTCCTCTTGAATCAGAAATTAAAATTCTTGGGTTGGGTGGGTGGTACAAAAAAAAAATGGGCGGGCTGGGTTAAGGGTGAAGGAAAAGAAAATTTGGCCACCTCTGCCACCTGGAACCCCATACCTCTCATATTCAATACCCTTGCAAGGCCACACCGTGTTACTCAGTCTCCTCACCGCAATATGGCCGAGAACCATCCAAAAACTATGGCACGACGTTAAACCACCAGTGCCAATACTCTCCCTTGGGAACTTCCGGCCATGCACAGGGAGCTGCGCTTTTGATGTACTGGCCTGCCAGCAGCTGGTCAAATACATACTCGATGGAAAAATTTCAGCGCACGACAGGAAGGGTATTGGAGGTTTATCTGCTAAATGATACTATGCATCAGGAACCCTCGGCCAAAATTCAGAAAGGTCAGCCCAGTGCTCTAATACTGACTTAACCTCGAAGCCTCCAAAAGACTCGCACGATCACACCTTATTTTCTGAAACTCCTTGCAGAAGACACACCTTACTTTTATTTATGAGGCCTTGCCTGCTGCAGTCCCTGTCTATTTGCTCCTGAACCATTTGACCAACTCGCCTAGTCGCTTGAACCACCCTCCTCCCCCCGTCCCTTCCCCCCTGCGGTTATATCTGCCCAACCAACCTCCCCTCCACCAGTACAGGCTACAGGCCCCAGGTTTCCTCACTTCAAGGAGAACCTATGGCTCTGATGTTTCCTGTGCTCGCTCGTGCTCTCAACACACATACCCGGCCCTGCTTCTACTCTCCTTAGCACTTTGTGCACTCAATGTGTTAGAGGAGTCAGCCTCCTACTCATGATATCAGCACCGAAGATCTCTTAGTAGTCAGCCTCCTAATTATACCTCGTAATACTTCTGGAGTTCTTGATGCTGCTTCTGCAATTCCTCCACCATTTGTCGCTTCTCCTCGTCACTCTTCATCTTTTGGCTAAGCAAAGCATTCATTTCTTGGTTGGCCTGCTAAAAAGTTTCCCCCCCCAAACACGAACTCGGAAATACCCATAAAACAGAAAAGACGAGATGTAAACACAATGAATCCCACACAATCATTGTAGGAGACTAGACGGAACTTCAACCAGGAAAACCATCCTCCATACGGGCAACATTTCTGGTGGATTGTAGGGCTACGTGTTTAATTGATGACTTCTTTTTTTAACCTTTTCCTTAGCCTTGGGGTATGATCGTGAAACTGACCAACTACAGGTAATTCAGAGTTGTTTTACTCATCTCAGTCCATCAGGATCCGAGCTCAGGTCTTATCGACAGTCATGAGTGTACCATTCGGCCACTTGTGCTTCATGATTGATGACTTCTCTGATTCTTTTCCTTTTCACAGCGCAATATCATCATGGTGAAAAATTTGGACCATTTTCTTAATTTATGCATGTCATCCTTGGAGGGCAGGGGCCATGCTAATCTTCCGTACCATTCCAATTTTAACAGATGTCCAGGAGGACCGACTTCTATGATTCTTTCTATCTTATCTGTCTATTTCCATGCCGAAGTTCAATTAGTGTTTGTACTTCACAAATCCATTTATTCAATATACATATACAACAGACCTGTAAGTTCAATCTTCAATTCAATAAAAGTATTATTGCGTCCTTAGTACTCACTTTTTATGACTGTGAGAAGCTGACCCATAATGAGCATCAATCAGCCTGCGTAACCAATACCACACATTGCGTAGCCCTACCAAATCCATCAGTCTGAGCTGCTGAATTTGAAGTGTACATCCTTGATAACAAATGCAAATGAACAAGAAAACGAACAGCAGCAATGCAGCACTTCATTTTTCTCTCGCTCTCTTTCTCCATCACTTTCCCCCATGGAATTTGAAGTGTATGTCCTTGATATCAAATGCAAACGAACAAGAAAACGAACAGCAGCAATGCAGCACTTCATTTTTCTCTCGCTCTCTTTCTATATCAATTTTCACCCATGGTTCATTTCCTCACTGCATACATCTCCACAGTCTACAGAGGTTTTCCTGATATTGGTGCAATCGGCATTGGGACGCCAGTAAGTGACCACTCTTTCTGGACCAGCTACCCGCAGGCTGACTTAAGTAAGTGACCACTCTTTCTGGACCAGCTACCCACCAGCTGACTTAAGTATGAGGGCAGGCCTGCCATGAGGCGTGCAATTTGTGTGTGTGGCCTGTGTACGATCTCATAGAAGCCTATGAGTAACACATACGTTTGAAGACTGGTACTTGAAGAGGATATTGATGAAACGAACAGAATACAAACAGGTAAAAAAATATAATCATAAATCTTTGGCTGTAACTGAACTAATTCATCAATGTATCTAAGGTAAATGAACTTCACATGTCTCAGCGTTCCATCTGGTAGGCCATCTGTACGGTAGGTCCAATAGCACCTGAAGACCCCTCTGTAACAGTATGCTCTAAATGTCTGGTGGGCCGGTAGGTCAGTAGGCCCAGTCACTCAGTCACCTGTCAGTCCAGTTTGTCCACAGGTCAGACCCAGGGAAGTCGGTGTAACTTCCAGATGCGTTAAAGACCAGCGGTAGCCGGCAAGTCAGGATAGTGGTCCGGAAAAGTCCACAATTGGGAACTGAGTGAAGAACAAGAGTCAAGCGCAATCAGACTTCTCTCAATTTCACTCGTGCCGATGGCAACACAACTTCATCAACACAGAATCAGCAACAAACTTGCGATGGCGCACTAGGCCCACACAGAAATCTCAGAAATATGGCCTTAGGCCAGGAACTCAGCTTAAGTCAACTTGTCACATCTAGCGGCTATGGCCGCAGAGCGCTAGTCTGAATTCCCCTCAAACACTGTCTTCACCATCAGACACTCTCATGCAACTCACGCACATGCACACACGCATAGGATATACCCTGAATGTCCACACACACACAAACACACACACACACACGCTACACTCTATCTGTTGATGTCAGCAACTGGGTGGCTACGGCCGCCGTCGTCTTCCGCCTCCACTAGCGGCTATGGCCGCTCGCCCTCTCCTTCGTCGGGCACCTGCAGACCTCCAACGCACATGGCGCATCAGCAGCGCTTCCGCATGGCTCACAGGCGAATGAATGAATGGTTTGGTGCTGCCTCTTTATGTATACCGTTTTGTTGGTGGTCTGGCCTGTCTTCAGTCCCAGGCCCTAAGAGTGTGTAGCCCCACCTGGTACTTGCTGACTAGACAAGGTGAACTGGGACTGAGACTGGGACTGGACTCTTCCTTGCTGACTCAGCTACGGACGACTAACTCCTACAGCTCCAACAGGTCAAGTAGTGACTCCTAGAACCTCTAAGTCCGACTGACTGACTCTTCGCTAGACTTAGGGCTAACCTCCCCCTCGCTGACTCAGGTAGCCTACTGACTTCTAGAAGGTCCTAGGCTAAGCGCTAGGCAGACCATTTGGACTACTAATCCTATCGTCTACGGTTCAAATCCCCACGACCCAACTAACAGACATGACACAGACCTACGACTTTTAGGGGCCAGGTCGCGGGTTCGAGACACACTGTGTCAACGGGTAGCTGTACAAGGGTACAGGAAGGTCTAGGGATCGAGCCCTGGGATCCGCACTGTCGCGCGAACTGAGTGAAACCGTTTCACTCCCACCGTCCTAAATTCGAGGGCCTTCGAGAATCCTTTAATCCAAGGCATGACCTTTACACTTCCTTGCTCTTTCATAAGCATGAACTATGTCGGGAGCGGTTTCTCGAAGTTCACTTGGTGTGAACCATTTGTTGTCCTCAGGTTCCTAGCAGGCTAACCTAACTTTGTATTGCTTCTGGGGACGACCCCGACCTCCAGTCCGAAGAACATCTTCTTCCAGTATGCAGTCTATGTCGTTTGTGCCATCCATGTCCGGCGGAATCATAGATCTCCGCGAAGGAAACCGTTCACTGGTAACACATGGCAACAACTTTGAAGCATGGAAGACCGGGTACGTATGGAGGTGCGGTGGTATCTCTATGGTGTACGATGGTCCGTCCTCTCCTCCTTTTGACTTAAGGACAGGCCACGGTCCTCTTTACGTGGGCAAGAGCTTTTGCGAGATGTTTTCCTCTGCTGCAAATTCCTTTGACTTGACCCAGACTTGGTCGCCTGCTGTTACATGCTGCGCCTGCAACAGGCTGCACAGGCCATTCCTAGCCCGTGACGTTTTCAGGCCAAAAGCCTGAAAACAAGGGCCTACAGGCCCTGTGTCATTTCAGCCTGAGAGCCTGAAAACAAGGGCCTACAGGCCCTGTGTCGTTTCAGGCTAAATCAGGGCCTTTCCGGCCCTGAGTGTTTTTAGCCTGAAACTGAGGGCCATTTCTGGGCCCTCGTCAGTTCGACCTGCCCTGAAACTCAGGCAACAAACCAGGATTTTAGCACAGGCCAATTCGGGCCTGCTTTCAATACAACCCCTGGTTGAGCTTCAACGCCAGGGTCTGGCACGTTTCGGCTTTGGCAAGAGCAGCCTCCTGGACGGGCCAGCAGTTATATAGGACTGGCCCGCCCTACAGGCAGGCAGGTAGTTCCTAGGTACTTCCCAGGCACTTCACGTGCAGTTCAGGAGGCAGGAGGTAGTCTTCAGGATTCGGCAGCAGCACTCTGGAGGAGCGCTGCAGGAGTAGTAGCAGCGTTAGCAGTAGTCTTCCGCGCTGGGCGCTAGTAGCGTTAGCTGTAGTCTTCAGCGCTGGGCGCCATAGCAGCTAGGGTAGTACTAGAGAGAGAGAGATTGGGCGGAGGCCAGAGGCACTTACCTGCAGCGCCATCGCTCCAGCTTCGCCTTCGAGGTACCTGCAGCACAGTGCCACCTTCACAGGTTAGTACCTGGCATACGAGAGAGAGAGAGTTCTTCTTCTTCCTCTTCTCAGTCCACCATCTCTCTCTCACCCTCTCGTTATCTGACTTCACTGCATCAGCAGACTATGCGAGAGAGAAACAGAGAGCTTGGTGACCTTTGGATCCAGACTCGACATTGGACTTCAGACATTTTGACGAGGGATTATTTGGGACTTGTAACGAGACTTGGTGTTGACGACTTTCCCATCTCTCCCCTCCTCTTCTCCGTCTGATCCCCTCCTCTTCGTCTGTGCATGATCTGGACCTGGCGCCTTCTTCCTGTGTATAGCGTCAGGCCCCCCTTCACACTTGCGATGAGAATGATTTATGTGGGGTCTGCGTTGAAAGGATGATTGGGCTAGTCATTAGTATTCTAGCGTTCTGCTTCGCTATCTTGTACTACATGAAAGAGGTCAGTCCCGGTCAGGTCAGGACTTGTATCTAAACCTTCCACTGCGCTATAAAACACCATTTTGTATGTAACGGAATGCACATTGCTTGTTGAGACTCCACTTGCACTGCATTGTCCATTCAGTCCTTTTTATCACATTGCGGATCCTCGGTTTATATGTACATCGCCCAACTAGGCATGTAACAGTTGGTATCGGAACGCCGCACGTGAATCAGGACAACCTGATCTGACACGTGTGCGGGGACTAGGTAGCTGAYTAGTCTTGATTGATTGATTAGAGCACACTAGTTAGCCCCCCAAATCACCATTTTGACCTCATTGCCGAAAATCAAAATTTTTTTCTTTTCTTGGATTTTGTTTTGCCGCTATATCTGTTGTGGAAAATCGCAATAGCGCAACATCTGAAATTTCCGTTTCGTTTTCTTCTGAAAATCCGAAATTTCGTTGTTGGAAATCCAGAATATCTTTTTCTCGAAAATTTCGATCTCCTTTTGCAATTTCCCGTTATTTGGAAATTCGGAATATTTTTTTCTGAAATTCGTTTTTCTGAAAACGGTACGGGAAATCCCTCTTGCAGTACCATTTTCCAAACTGCAAATACTCTCATCTGAGTAAGTCCGAATACATGTTATTTCTTTTCGGAAAAAAAAAAATTCGCAGTTCTATGATTTTCACTACCTTATAATCATTGGCAGTCTGAAGTTCGAATATTTTTTTCTCATTAATAATTTTGCACTTCAAGGGAGGTTGGGAGACCTACTGAACTTGCAAAACTCGGGACTTTTATTTTCTCGAAAATTT